ATCACATATAAGACGTGGTTCTCGTAAAAAGATTCCCCGTCGTTGATTTGATGTTGAAGGCGGTGAACTATTTATGATACTCCTGCAAGAACAAAACGAGCCTAAAAATGTAAAAGAGGCTTTTTCATGCCCTTCTAAAGATAAATGGACAAAAGCAATAGAAGATAAATTGGAGTCTATGAGAGTCAACAAAGTTTGGGAACTAGTTGACCTCCATGAAGGACACAAAGAAATTGGGAGCAAATGGGTTCTCAAAATTAAACTTAAGGCTGATGGCACAATTGAGAGAGATAAGGCTCGACTGGTGGAGAAAGGGTATACACAACAGAAAGGAATAGACTACGAAGAGACTTTCTCGCCTGATATATGATTTACCTCTGTTCGCCTAGTTCTAGCTATTGTTGCAAGCTTGGATCTTGAATTACATCAGATTAATGTAAAGACTGTCTTTCTTAATGGAGAACTAGATGAAAAAATCTATATGGAACAACTTGAGTGTTTCATTGAAAAGGGCCACAGACAAAAGTTTTGTAGACTTTTGAAGTCTATTTATGGCCTCAAACAATCTTCAAGACAGTGGTATATGCGCTTTCAGAATGATGTTGTATCCAATGGTTTTACCATGATGGTTGAAGACCATTGCGTTTATACCAAAAGATCAATGAACAAGCTTGTCATTTTAACATTGTATGTAGATGCCATACTTATAGCTGGAAATGATAAGGAGTTTATCACCGAGATAAAGTCATGGTTGTCATCTCAATTTGAGATGAAAGATATGGGTGAAGCTGTATATATTCTTGGAGTTTAGATTTCAAGAGATCGTCCGAGGAAACTATTGTATCTCTCACAAGAAAATTATGTTAGAAAGGTTCTTGAATGATTCAATATGTAAAATAGTAGCCCAGTTGACACTCCTATCAGTAAAGGCCATGCCTCGAAAAGTAGATGTGTCCTAAAACTCCTGAAGAAACAGAAAGAATGAGACGAGTTCCTTATAGGAGCGCAATCAGAAGTCTAATGTATGATATGGTGTGCATTAAATCTGATATCTGTTAAGCAGTTGGCTTGGTAAGTAGATATCAAATCGATCCAAGTTTAGTATATTGGAAAGCAATAAAGAGGATCATGAGATATCTGAAGGAAACTGCTGATTATGCCTTTTGTTACCAAGGCGGCAATGATCTGCGATTAGTTGGATATAGTGATGCTGATCATGGAAGAGGTCTAGACAAAAGGAAGTCAACCTCATGATATGTTTTCTTACTCAGTGATGACGCCATATCATGTAGTAGTAAGAAACAATCATGTGTATCACTATCTACAATGAAAGCCAAATACGTGGCTCTCGCATCAGTAGCACACGAAGTTGTTTGGTTGAAAAAGTTCTTGGAACGCTTGTTGGATATCGCTAAAAATACTGAATCAGTGTTAGTCTACAGTGACAGTGAGGCTGCAATATCCTCCACCAAGGACTCTAAGTTTTATTGTAAAACCAAACACATAGATATCAAGTATAACTATGCGAGAGACATGGTTAAACGCAAGGTAGTGAATGTGAAGTATGTGTCTATAAAAGATATGTTAGTAGATCCATCAACCAAGCCTTCGTCTAGAGATGCATTTGTGAGACACACTAGGTCTCAAGGCTTGCGTAGACTTTGATATTCTTCATTTTGTTATTATTTTCCCGTGTTCACAAAAGTGATATTCTTTAATTATCAATAAAGTTAATTTACATACATACATATTTATATTGCTGAATGTTACGTGTATTTTTTGTTCATTTTTTTTTATAAGTATGTCAGGTAGACAAGAGGTTGACCTTCTCACACAGGCAACCGCCTCCTTATCTTAGTGATGTGCGGAGATGAGACATGATTTTAAGCAAAATTATCATAAGAATAATTAGAGAGCTATTCGCTTAAAATCAGAATGTCACTTAAACAATGACACATGGTCATTAAAGTGAAAAATGTTCACCTAGTCTTCTCTGTAAGCCAGATGTGAGTTAAATATGATATTGTAGATCAAGAAACTCAAATTTACATACTTATAGTGTCTAAATATCATCTGTACAACATTCTTTATGAGATAAAGACATACTCTCCTTGAGAAAAAGAAAAAAATATTGTAGCACGTGTTTCATACCATATGTGCTAATGTCGACCAATTGGGTTAATATAAGTCCATTCTTAACTTATTGTTGTGTAAGACCTAGAGCTTTTATGGAAGCTCAAGATTTTGTACCCTCAAGGACTCCGATCAGATGCTTGAGGCTTAGTGTGATGTTAGTTATCTTAGTGTATTTCCAAAGGACCATGAACACAGATTCGGTCATATCTAGAAAAATAGTCAAACTAATATTAGAGGGATCGTGAGAAGAGGAAGATCATTGATGGAATCTCATTTAATTGTATTCATTGGTGCACCCGTTATAACTTATGAGTTATGATTGTGAATACAAGAAATAATAATTTATGAGATGTTGAGATTATATCAAATGTGATTTCTATGATCTAGGGTACTGCATATTTTATGATCTACTTGCAGGTTTGCACTCGACAAGAGGCTATATACTCCTACAGATATATAACACTTAGCTCTCATAATATGCTGGTCGCACGGTCTACTATCCCTTATGAATGATTGCGGAGATGAGATGAGAATAAGTTTCTCAAAATTAGATGAGCAATTCCATTATGTGTGAGTGAGAGATGTAGAAAATTTTGGGTCCACCCAGAAGGGGTGCACTAAGGCCCATTAGGGTAATTAGTTTAACCCTAATTATTTTCCATATAAGTACACCTAAAGTGTATAATTAAATATAATTAGGGGGTTGATCCGTCACAACGTGACAACCACCACCGACCAGCAATTCCAGTCGCGGTTTATCCATTCCTTCCGCTTCCGCTACGCGAACAAGTTAGTTCTCGTTTTATGATTTAGACGCTATCTAATGCGTTTAGTTTACCGCGTATTCATTCAATAGTACCCTAAACCAAAAAAAAAACATTTCGATTTTCATTACAATTAAGAAATCAAATATCTTATTCGAACCATAGAACTTATAATTTCAACAAAGATATCAAAAACATAAGTACCACTCCTTAGCAACCAAATAAGCCATCAAAACACTTGTCGAATCAATGAATTAGTTCATAAAAAAATTATTTGGAGTAAGTTTAGAGGCAAAATGTTAGACGCATAAATCTAATTGTAAGGCCATAAGTATGAGAAAGTGTAATAACTTATGAATGGCTTTGCGGAGAGTATTCTGTTGAGTGTTGCCTGTGAGTTTGTGAGGGTAAAAGTCTAGATATTACAAATTAATCCAGCGCTAATCTATATTTTGAGCGAATGCTTTAGTTTTTGAAGGATATAAAGTTGGTTAATATTTAAAGAACTTGTTCATGATAAACATTTAGTATTCATTCTTCTATAATAACATAAATATAGATATAGATTTGCAATTATTAGTAGCAGAGGTTTACCCATCCAAATTCTTCGAGCAATAAAGGTTCAAATTTATTCCTTAACATTTAATTAGATTTAAAATTGGGCTTTTGACAAAGTTAGCTGCTCGACAAAAACTATGAACAGTCGCCTAGCCCACAATTGCACATTATAACTTGTAGCCAAAAACAAATAAAATATGTTAACCAGCATATTTGTGCTGCCCCGCCCTCCCTAGTGGCCAAAATCCAAATTTTTCTTGCATTCTTTCCTCTTCTTCCAATTTATCCCGTTCACTACAACTTTACCAATCTTTGCTCTCCTATCTTCTTCGTTCTTGGAAACAAATCATACCCCAAAAAATTTACTACAATAATACAAACTCTAGCACTTCTTTTCGGGCCAAAACTCCAAAACTTTCTTTATTCCGCTGCTTCCATTCTTATTTTATATAAAATTTCATTTTGCCTTACCAAATTCTCCTTGTTCAATTTATATATTTTCCCACAGATTCTATAATCTTCACTACTCAATTCTTCTGTTTAATTCACATTGTTTCTCCTTCTTCACAACAACAATCAGAATGGACGTTTGTAGGAACTCACACTGTTTGAATTTGACGCACAGTGTCCTTAAATCTTTCGTTTCTTAACATTTAAGGTTTACTGAGGCAAAATTCCTTGAAGCCTATTTTTGTTATGTGTTCTTAAAACCTTTGAAATTTATTTTTAACGATGGAGCTTCAAATAAAGGGAAATATCAGATGCCTCCCTCCAAATTTAATGCAAAGGAAATATCTATTGCATTAAAGTTCCTGAAATATTAGTACATGCGACATAATTCCTGCTAATCCCCACATTTATAAGAACTTGCTCCTCCTCATTTTTCCTTTTCACCATTTTTCCAAATTCTTACTTGGATAAATAACACATGTCCATTTAGTTAAATTCAAATCAATTAAAGAAAGGTCTTAAATAGTGTTAGGATAATAGATATTTGCATATATTTGTCCGAAAAAATTTGGCAATGCCACGATTCTAGCAAGAGTTTTCTTTTTAAATAATCGAGAAACTTATGAAGTGCAATTGGCGTACAGTTCGAAACTCAATGAATGATGGGATTGTTCTCAACCCTTCTCCAATTAAATACGATGCATTCGCTCATAACTGAGTTTGAACTCGTGACTGCATCATGAGCTGCGCTCTTACCACTAAATTAAAAGCCTAAACACGATTGTCTTTGATAGTTATGAATTCGAACTCGTGACGTTCTTATCCACACATCATGAGTTGTAATCTTAACATTTGATCAAAGACCTAGGCAATTGTATTTGGTGATTATAGTTCCTTGAGTAGTTTAGTTCCTCCTATTTTAGCAAAGATAATGCTATCTAAAGATTATCTAAGTTCACTTTGGGACATGTATACATTCATTACCAGTTTATCACTAGTGTTAGTAGCTTATATGCCTTTTGTTTTCGTAATATGTGCACTTTCTAACCTCTAAAATTTCTTTCAACTTTTTCATCCAGTGATTATTGACAGTTCCTTAAAATAGATCATCTGGTTATAATTCATATCTGTTTTCCTTGCAAAGATAGATCCTCTTTATATAATTCAGGCCCACTTTTGATACTGATGTGTTTACATTAAGATTGGAGGTAAGACTTAGAATAGATATTTCAGTTGAGCTTCTTTATTACTACTATGTAGAGATAAGGTGGATCTGATGCCCTAACTGGATCCACAAACTTCAAGCAATATTTATCTAAGGAACCATTTCACCCTCAGGAATTCCAGGAAAGTGAGCTTGCACCAGCTGTAACTGAGATTGGAATTCCTTCCATTCCTCTATAAACAATGTGTAGCTTGAGTTTTTGGCCAAAACATCTATTGAAACCTCCTTATTTTCAATCAATCTCCTAGCATATTGATCAAACTTAGTGATATCTTCCAACATCTTGACAAACTTTCTAGCATCAGCCTCAGCTCTGACTTTAATCAGCTTGTCTCTTGCCTCCTCAACCTTAGCCCAAAAGCATGAATCTTGTGTCGAACTCGCGAATCTGCTCCTTGCAGCAGTAGTATGATCTGTGCCATTCTCAACCTCTCCGTCATTCCACCACGTATCGAAAATCTTGTACCTTCTCTCCCGACCGTGCTGCATATAGTGGCCTTTCACACGATGCATCCCACTCCTGTAGTACTCTGCAATATCGAGTGGCTCTACGAGGAGTTTGTAGAATTGAGAAGCATTTACCCACTTTGCACGCTTATGAAAATCATAGGGCAGTTGATTCTTTTCCCACTTGTCAATCACAGAATCCCAAAACTTAGCAAGTCTGATCCTGTTCATATTGACCTTAAAGTCCCTTTTCGAGGCACCTCGTTGCTTGTACGAATCGTAATATCCCATTTGATCACTAGATTTATCACATGATTCTTTATACCACTCTATCTGTGCTCTTAGTGGATTGATCTTGGATAAATCAATTGCAAGGTTGGCACTATTATGGTTGCGAGTTCGACCTGACTTTTTTGCCTCTTTCAGGGCCTTCTTAGCATCTTCTGAATTCAATTCCTGTTTGTCAAGTAGAAGCAAAATCAGAGAATGAGAACCAACATAGAGATGAACCATGTGAAAACTAGAATCAACAATATGAGAGCAATTTTCATCCCTTTAGAGCAAGGTACGAGTATCAATACATGTGATATAGTACCAATACAGCATACATTGCTCTCGTGTGATGAAAATTGCTCTGCAACATTACTAGCATATGAAATTAGTCAATATAAATGTCTAACATTACATGAGAAGCTATTCCTAATGACTCCAGCGCCAATGTTATCCCTGCTTCATAGCTTGCCTCAGGTAGATTGCCTCCCACGAAGCATCTACTCTCTATAAATTGCCAATGAACTTTCTGAATAAAATGCGCGTAACCAAGATGATCGTCGAGGCTAGAACTTGGTGAACCATTCAGTAACGTCAAGTAAAGCAACTTTACGATAAGCATCCCATTATCGACACAAACTGCACCCATGTTGGTGCAGAACAAGTAGCTCCCAAAGGGCCAAAATGAACTCTTACATTCACCTTTCGATATAACTTCAAGAGAAGCCAGCACAATGCGGAATAGCAGAGTCTTGTTTTCCTCAGATAAGTGAAAAATAAACTGGAAAGAACATGAAGATGAAGCCAGTGGAATGAGTGGAGTAGGAGAAGGGGCAAAGAGCAGTCTTGGCACTATATCATGCTGTGAAACCACATGGCAAAAATGTCCAGCCCATCTTTCTTGAAGAATGGCTTGGGAAAAGGACTCATTGCCAAGCATTGGAGAGCCAAAGGTAATGCAAATTACTGAACAAACAGTTTGCAGGTGGGAGAGAAGCCAAAGAGCTAAGAGGGAAGCAATTGCTCCTCCAACCGAGTGTCCTGTTATGACTAGTGACTTGGTCGTGTTCATTATTTCTACCATCTGCATATTTTCAAGAGAAGAAATGTGACAGAATTTCTTTGAGGGAAAATTCAAGAAAATAAAAACCGAGAAAAAGCTTTTAATTTGTAGGTAATTTTATGAAGAGAAACAATCTTAGAAATTATTAGATCTTGTATTGTTTTCAGATTTCTTAAACATTTCGAGAAATTCATTAATTTCGTCATATCAACTTTTTTCAAATGATTATCCTTCCCTTTTATTTTTTTCAATTTCCAGTCGATCATTAAGTTTTAAGAGATACTTTACGAAAGAGCTTTAAGTTTTAGTACCATTTAAAATAATCTCTCTCAACTTACCAACTTACCATGATTAAGTGATCAAAAGAGGTGGAACACATGATAATTGCCCATAGTTAAATGATAGAAATTTATGTCCAACCATGTCATGCAGATTCGTTTGGTGCAAATATTACCAAGTGTACGTATGCTTTTACCCACATTTTACTCCTGGCGAAAAATTATGTATTTGGAGTGATGAATGAGACTAACTCAACCTATGATAGTCTTGTTCACGGTAACTTTTTTCTTTTTATTACTAGTGCGCTATTTTCGCATTTGCAAATTAAATAAACAATTACTTTGTGTACGGTCAAAACCGATTTGACCGATTCTCAGTCATAAAGACCGGTCGAGACAATGACGTTTCAATCGAAGGGTATCCACATGACAAGCTCGGACGAATTCCGAAGTAGAAACGTCGGGCTTCGAACTATAAAACCAATCAACGGCAAAACTCGATATCATTATCGAGCCCGTGTCCGAATCGGACTACGGGGCAACACCGATCAACACAAGCCCCGAATATCGATGCCCCAAGGCAGAACTGAGCTCGAGTCAGTGCCAAGCTCGCACACAAGAGCCGTTACAACCGCACCAAGGGAGAGAATCTTGGCGAGAATCAAGGAAGAGACAAACCATCATGGGTCCTCCACTATATGTATTTTTTTATTATGTTGTTATAGATGAAGCAGTGACCATCTACTATAAAAAGGGAGATAGACTGCAATAGACACAGGTCCTCCAGGGATATATTAAGATTTCATTGTGCTTGTTTTTCGAATTCATTTTCAGTCTTCCCGTCCAACATTCCCATTTTATAGCAAAAATACTTGTATTGTCATTTTGTATCAAAGGAATTTACATACCCTTAGAACCATATCTAAATTTAACGTTATCCGATTTTTTCGGGTAAACAGTTTGACGCCCACCGTGGGGCTAAGGGTAACAGTGATTGTTTGATATAAATCTACAGTATACTCCAGCTTACAACTTCAAATCACCAATGGCTCTACCTATCGACCTCGAAGCCGGCTTTCAAGATGAAACCAACAACTTGGCGCCCGGGGTCGGAAGGCTACCTGACGACGGCAACGAGGCTCGAATCGAAGAACCCGAAATTCGAGCCGAAGTACCATTGGATGTCAATTCACAAATAGTTCTAGAAGCGAATCAGCATTCTGAACCGGAAATAAGCGTTCAGGGCGGTGCTCGACCCATAGCCCGAGACACCTACAACACCGGGGAAATCGGGGTCAGCTTGCGTATGATTTTCGAAATGTTACAAGCCCAACAAGCAGCGATAGCTCAGTTGAAGAGTCGAACTCATATGCAAAGTGAGCCGAACTCCAATCCGCTTCTTCGAGAAGTCACCCCCAGAACGGAGCCCGCCGTAGTGAAATCAAACGAGCAGGAATCGGGGACCGCTCCTGAAATTGTTAAATTGCTCGAGGAACTCACAAAATGAGTTGAAGCCAACGACAAAAAAGTAAAAACGTATAACGCTAGGGTCGATCAAATTTCGGGGGCTCCGCCAATGATAAAAGGGCTCGATTCGAAAAAATTCATACAAAAGCCTTTTCCCTCGAACGCGGCCCCAAAACCAATCCTAAAAAAATTCCGTATGCCCAAAATTTTCAAATATAACGGTACGACCGATCCTAACGAACATGTCACCTCCTACACATGTGCCATCAAAGGCAACGATTTGGAGGATGATGAGATCAAATCCGTGTTGTTGAAAAAGTTCGGAGAGACCCTCGCAAAGGGAGCAATGATCTGGTATCACAACTTACCACCAAATTCCATTGATTCCTTTGCCATGTTAGCAGATTCGTTCGTAAAAGCACATGCTGGTGCCATAAAGGTCGCAACAAGAAAATCAGACCTCTTTAAAGTAAAACAAAGGGGTAATGAAATGCTGAGGGAATTCGTATCCCGATTTCAAATGGAACGTATGGACTTGCCACCGGTCACAGACGATTGGGCCGTACAAGCTTTCACCCAAGGACTGAACGGGCTAAGTTCGACATCATCACATCGGCTGAAACAAAATTTGATCGAGTACCTAGCAATAACTTGGGCAGAAGTACACAACCGATACCAATCAAAAATCAGGGTCGAAGATGATCAATTGGGAGCTCCGTATGGGCCCGTACGTTAGAACCACACAACCACTAAAAATCAGAGGGAAATTAACAGAGAACAAAGGTCGAACAGAGACCGATACCAACCGTACGATACAGATCGGATGAACAACGGTTTAGCACGTGATACGGTTCGGAACAACTGAAGGATTAATCGGGGGCAAAATTCTCGGGGACTTATGAGCAATAGAGGCTTTGATAAATATGCCGATTCTATAGAAGTCCCTCGATTATCGGAGTATAACTTCAACATTGGTACATCCGCCATCGTATCGGCCATCGGACGCATCAAAGGCACCAGATGGCCTCGACCCATGCAAACCGATCCTGCCCAAAAGGAATCCCAATCAAATGTGCGAATATCATGGCACCCATGGCCACAGAACGGAAGATTGTAGGCAACTAAGAGAGGAAGTGGCCCGCTTATTTAACAAAGGACACCTTCGGGAATTTCTTAGTGATAGGGCGAAGAACCATTTTAGGGACAAGGAATTCGGCAAGCAAAACGAGCCAGAAGAACCGCAACACGTCATTCACATGATCATCGGCGGCGTCGATGCCCCTCAGGGACCGATGCTTAAAAGCACTAAAACATCGATTGTGAGGGAAAAGCGATCTTGAACTCAAGATTATACACCCATAGGGACTTTGTCCTTCAGTGATGAAGATAAAGAGGGAATCATCCAACCCCATAACGATGCACTGGTAATATCTGTACTCATGAATAAAACTAAGATTAAGCGTGTGTTAATTTATCCAGGTAGCTCGACCAATATCATCAGATCGAGGGTCGTAGAACAGCTCGGCCTGCAAGATCAGGTCGTACCAGCAACTCTGGTTCTAAACGGATTCAATATGGCATGTGAAACCACCAAAGGCAAGATTACCCTGCCGATAAACGTGGCCGGAACCATCCAGGAAACAAAGTTTCACGTGATCGAAGGTGATATGAGATATAACGCCCTTTTCGGAAGGCCGTGGATCCACAGCATGAGAGCCGTACCCTCGACCCTACACCAGGTCCTCAAATTCCCAACATCAGAAGGTGTCAAAATAGTGTACGGAAAACAACCGGCCGCAAAGGAAATGTTCTCCGTCAAAAAAGCAAAATCAATATCCTCGTCTTCGCCGATAAAAGGATCAGGTTCAGAGCAGAGCGCCAAATAGCAATCACAGACATCGGCTTCGACCCAGCCAGGTAAGCAGAACGTTGAAGAAGATGATGATGATCGATGGATCCCTCGATCCTTCGTAACCCCCGATGATTTCGATACCACCAAATCAACAATCGAGGAACTGGAGCAAATCATACTGATCGAACACTGGCCCGAACGAAAGGTATACCTGGGAACG